TAACATGACTTCAGACTGACTTATCACATGAACTCTAATCTTAATCTACTTGTGATGTAATCTGATTACCTAATCTTGAGATGATTTAATTGTTGCATCAGCTGAACATCTAATTGGGTCTAATTCACTGTTTCCGTGACTCAGAGGTCCCTGATGTTGAACCAGGAAACCATGTGACCGAGTGTTCGCTGACCCCTGACAGCTCTCTGGACGAATGATGAAGTGATAAACGTAGAAGTCGGGTGTTTTTAGAGCGTGTTTGGGCCTGAAAAGTTCCAGGTTCTGAACCCTGTAGCTCCTGATGGAGGCCGGGGTGGAGAACCACGGTTCTACTGGTTGGAACATGGTCCATTTATTTCCTCGCATGCAGCAGTGAGCTCACAGAAACCTGCCGTTTGTGTTGAGCAGGAGCGACGGGAGTTTCTGAGTATTTCTGAATATTGTTCGTAACAAACAACAGATTTCATTGGTTGACTGAGAACAAGAAGCGAGGACATGTTGGGGTGTCGTCACGCCGACTCCTGAAGAGTCACGACTCACCTCAGGACTCCTTCACTCTAAAACTGAAATGAGCTGGTTTATCGGTGCCAAACTGGGCCGAACCAGAGAAGATCCAAAGTAGAGTGTCCTGTGTTCTGATCAGTGTTCGTGGTCGACTAGTTGGTGGCTCAGTGCTCCAACCAGCGGCCCAGTAGTCACGATGCCACTGTCAAGTTTGGCCCATGACGGTTTTATTGTCCAACTGGACCGAGCCACCAGAACCGCTGGCCGTTATATCACAGGTAGTTCCAATGATTCAAGATGGCGGACGGCGCCGTGAAAACTCAGCTGGTAGAATAAGAACCGAACCAACCAGCACCGAGCCTGTGTTTCTGCTCCGCGGTCCTCACAAGTGTCTCTAGTTCCTGATGACGGAACTCTTCAGTTCTGGTTCACAAGACAGACCTGGAACCAGTTTGGTTCTCCTGTGGTTCGGCCCGCTTTGGCGCTCAGCAGGAGGAAATTAAAACCTAAATAAGTCTCCAGCAGGTGTCTGTTTCTGTCTGTGGACAGAGCTGGAACATCTCTGGATGCACATCAGGACTCCTCCAACAACCAGGATGGGTTTCAGCAGCACCAGGTTTTCTCTACAGCTGGTAGCAGTGGTTCGGCCCACTTTGGTACCATCCCCCCCAACTAGTCACCTGACAGAGCAACACCTGGCGGCAGGTATCAACCGACTAATTCCCCAGCAGGATGTGTCCCAGTAAAAAAACTGATACAACAGAAAGCACATTAGAATAAATTAAAGTTTATTGTGTTTAACTAAATGAAACTCCAGCTAACAAAACGCATTTTCTTCTCATCCCCAATACGTGGTGATGAGCTGGTGTTGTCTGGGACATCCTCCCAGCAGCACACACGTACAATAAAACATTTTCTCATCACGTTCATGAAGAAACGTTTTTCTGTAAAAATGCGGCGGCTAAATGAGTCGCATTCAAACCTGGTTTAAAGGAAACGGAGACATTTAGAAACATTTGTCTGGTTCTGTCGCCACAAAAAGACTTCATTCAGCCGCGGGATCGGGACGTTAATTATCCGTCGTCTGATTGGCCGCAGGGAGACACACACACACACACACACACACACACTGACAGGACAACAAACAAACACACACGCAGCAGGTTTGTGGTAAAATGAGGCTGAATAGTGAAAAGCAGCTATTTATCCCCTCAGGTCTCCTGAGACTCACTGAAGGAAACAATGACGGGTTTAAATGCAACAACACACACACACACACACACACACACACACACAGTCAGAACAACCACCATCACACATGCTGACATGAGCCTGGAACGTTTACCCAGAATGCATTTTGTAAAGTTTCCTCTGGTGACTGATCAGAACCAGAAGAAGGTTCTTTGATCTGATGAGACCAAAATGAAGCTTTTTGTCCATCAGACCAGACGTCATGTTTGATGGACACTAAACATCATGAACACTCCATCCTCACTGTGAAGCACGGCGGTGTTCAGACTGGGACACCTGGATGGATGTAGAACTGATCTGGTGTCAGGTTCTAGCAGAACCCAGATGTGTTCTTCCTCCTAAATGTCATGTGTCTATCTGCTGTACTGATGAAGTTCTGAGGCTCAGAAATGATGGAAAAAGTCCATTAAAGTGATCAATCTGGACCCTCCTCTGTGGACTTGAAGGACCTGGACCTCTGGAACATTCACAGTCTGAAGGTAGAACTCTGGTCAGTGGATGAAGGTGCTGCAGATTCAGAACCAGATGTTCTGAGGAGGTTCTGGAGGATTTCTAATGAAATGACCTGATGCTTTGTCACTGTGGGCTGAATGTGGCAGTAAACGTGGGATAATACACGTGAACACGCCGTGGTTTCCAGGTTTGTTCAGCCCAAACCCTTGAACGCTGAAGCTGTTCAACCATTCTAACCACATCCTTTGTGACACCTTCAGTGTTTCTGGTGAAGCCTGTTCTGTGGTCGAGTCCTCCTCCTCTCTGGCTTCACGTTTCCTCTCCTGTTCCCACCCTTCCCCTTTGCTTTCTAACCCTCCGTCTTTGTTCGTTTCTTTCTCTTTTTATTCCTCCTCGCCGTCCCTTCCCCCAGTTTTCCCACCTTCCTCCTCCATCAGGATCACCACAGAGCTCGCCGCTGCCCCGGCAACCATCGCGCAGCCGCCTCCGCCACGGCAACAGGCCGTCGTCAGGGCGGCCGACCCCTGACCCCATCACAGCTGCTCTGCCATCATATCCCACAATCCCCTGCTCCCCGCTCGCTCCCGTGACCAGAGGGGTCAAACACTAGAACAAAACTGCATCACTTTGTCCAATTCTGAGAACGGAGACGAGGAAAAGAAACAAGGAGGCAGGAGAGGAGGAGAGAAGAGTAGATTCAAGGAAAACATGATAGGAAAGGAGACGAGGAACAAAGATGAGAGACGACGAGAGGAGAAATCAGGAGACGAGAGGAAAGGAAAGAAAACAGAAGATCAAGGAAGAAAAGAAAAGGAGTGAAAAGAGAGAATAAGGGAGTGAAAGAAGAGAACGAACCAGAAAACAAACTGATGTTATGGATGGAAAGGAGAGAAAGAGCTGGTTAAAGAAAAATACAATGGAAAGAAGAAGGGATGAGGAGAAGAGTGGAGGAAAGGAAGGATGGCAGGTAGAAGACAGTAAAGGACAACGATAAAGAGGTCACAGTTCTGTGACTTGACAGCACTCAACTGTTGTTCAAATAAAAGCCCTCAGATGTGTTTCAGTTGTTGAGCTCCTGATTGTTACCGACTGGCTCAAGTTTAGCTGCAATCAAATTTAAAAATTCACAAACTCCAAGACAAGGAATGCAATAAAACTGTAGTTATGTGTAAAACCTTTAAGTATAGAAGCTTAAAGAGCAGTTGAAGGTGCTCAGATATGTGCCGAGTAGATGTAGAGTCAGAGGGTAGATGTAGAGTTAGAGCAGGGGTGTCCAATCCTGGTCCTCAAGGGCCACAATCCTGCATATTTTAGATGTTTCCAAAACACCTGATTCAAATGATCAGCTCATCATTAAGCTCTGCAGAGGCCTGATAACAATCCTGATCAAAATATGCAGGATTGTGGCCCTTGAGGACCAGGATTGGACACCCCTGAGTTAGAGGGTAAATTTACCACAGACCAGCTGCAGTACCTGGTTGTTCCACCAGGTGGAGCTTCTTCCTATGTAATCCTGCAGAGACCAGAGGAGGCGTCTACAGACTACAGCTCATGGTGGCAGCAGAGAGCATTGTGGGAGTTTGGCAGCAACGGGACCATGACAGAGACTCTGAGGAGGTTCAGGACCTCCAACCAGAGCCCCAGTTTGATCTTAATCAGTAAATTAGAATATTGATCTCACAACTGTATAAATGGAGGCTAAAGGTCACTGGAATCAGGTTAAACTGAGCCTGGACGTCATCACAGATCAGCAGAATGGTTCGATTCACTAAAAACGTTTCACATTTCCTTCTAAAAAACACTCTTCTTTTACAAACTATTCTCCATCTTTTACTCTGTTTTGTAGCTGCAGAAGGTGTGAATGTGTCCTGAGTGTTTGTCTTCAGGGTTCAGATCTGCAGTGACGTCAAAGGAAACTCCGTCGGTCTGAGGTGAAGACGAGCAGCGGCGTGAAGCTGAACACAGCTCAGGACACAACAAAACAGGATGACAGCAGCTGGAAGTTTCACTGTGAGTCCCGGACGGAGTCTGAGCTGCTCCAGGTGCTTCATCAGTGTAACCTGAGCTGCTCGCCATTAATAAATAATGCTCCTGAACCAGTCAGCTCATCGGTCAGCTGCAGTCCGGATCATTCTGCCACAAGGACGCACACAGACGGACACACAAGCAGACACACCACAGCGTCCAGTCAGAGGTCCAGCTTGGCTTTCAGGGATTTCTGGTCACCTGAACGACACCATGAATCCTGAATAGTAAGTGTTGTTTCCGTCCGCTGCGTTTGGTTCTGACTGCTCTCTGAGTGGGTTCAAGTGTCTGAAACTGCAGCATCATGGAGCTTTACGTCGGCTGACTTCTGTATTTAAACACTCGTGTGTTCTGGCGTCGGTGTTTGGTCGTCGTTGTTGCATGTCAGCGTGTGATTGGACAGTTTCAGCTGTTTTCGTGCGCTCTGGTTACAGAAGCGCAAACATCGAGTTCATTTTCCGCAGAGACAGTTTCAGGTGAAGTGCGGTCGGGTCGCTGGGCCCAGGTGGCTCATGGGTATCGTAGTTCTTCAGGTGTGGCTTCTCCCACACAGTTCTGCTGCTTTCAGAAGGAGTTCACAGGAAACTACCGGATCTGAGGGCTGTTTGGTTCGACTGTTTCGACATTACGTGATCGTCTCTGCTCACCTTTAGCCGCTTTCACCTGAAACAACATCCTGACATTCAGCAGGTAACAGCTACACAAGGGACAGTCCTCATCTCTATGAAGACGAGATGCTTAGAACTGTTGGATCACTCCACATTAAACCAACCAAATCCGATCAAAGCTCCACCAGAACCTCCACAGAACCATCTGGTTCCGTTTCCACATGAACTCTGTTTAACGAAGCAGACTTCTGATTGCATACTGTGAATATTTCCAGAATTACGATGACACAGAGTCATAGAAGCAGTCATCGGTACCCTGGATGTGGTTCTGATCCGTCACCAGAGAAAACTTTAAGAAGTGCATTCTGGGTAAACTGTCCAGGCTCATGTCAATGTCTGTGTGTTTGCAAAAAGTAATTGTTGTAGTTCTTCTTGTATAAAGTGTAACCATAAAACTCTTGTTATAAAGACATTTTAGAGGATATTTACAATGTTTTTTACAGATTTAAAGTCTGTTTTTCTGGAAGCCTTGATGCCAGATGTGCACATTGTTTGCAGGATGGTTCTTTACAGAGTTTGACCTTCAACATTTGGATTAGGAAGCTGTTCACTAACTACACACCAGAAATTTAGAAACATCAGAAAGTTGAGTCGGTTTAAATGAAATCTGACACACCGTTTTAAACGTCCTCATCTGTCTATTCCAGTGACTACCTGTTCAAGCTTCTGCTCATCGGCGACTCTGGAGTTGGAAAGTCGTGTCTGCTGCTGCGCTTCGCGGTACGAACAGAAAAACATGCAAACACAAACACACACTCTTTGTTCCAGTTGGTGACACTGTGCTTGGCTGCAGGACGACACCTACACCGAGAGCTACATCTCCACCATCGGCGTCGACTTCAAGATCAGGACCATCGACATGGACGGGAAGACGGTGAAACTACAGATCGTAAGAGTTTGTTCACCAGGAGTGTTGAAGCAGAGTGAAACTACTGTGTCAGGCAAACTTCAAGTTAATCAGCCACTGAGAAATTAACTAAATCTGAAACCTGGCATCCTTTAAAACAGCAGTTTTTATGTCCAGCAGCTGTAGTTTATTTAATGAAGCAATGCAAAGTTTTACCTTCATACTATGGATGTTTTTACAGGCTCTTGAAGTACATAGGGGTCCACGACATGATGCTGCCACCGCCGTGCTTCACAGTGACGGTGGTGTGTTTGTGATGATGTGCGGTGTTTGGTGTCTTGCTCGTCTGATGGACAAAACCTAAATTTTGGGCCCATCAGACCAAAGAACCTCCTTCATGACTTTTTATAACAGACTGTGAGCATTACTATAATTGGATATATCATAATCTCAATAGTAAAACTGCAAACAAAAAATATTTTGACCCACAAAGAATTCTGTCTAGAAAATAATCCTGGTATCAAATGGAGGTAAAATGGTCCCTCCATTGTCTAGAACTGGTTCTGACCAACCACCATCACACATGCTGATATGAGCCTGGAAAGTTTACCCAGAATGCACTTTGTAAAGTTTCCTCTGGTGAATGATCAGAACCAGAAGAAGAATCTTTGGTCTAAGCAGATAAACATTGAGCTTTATTCCCACCACACGACACACAATGTTTGCTGGACACCAAACACTGAACATCATCATGAACACTCCATCCTCACTGTGAAGCACGGCGGCAGCATCATGATGTCGATGCTTCTCAACAGCAGGCCGTGAAAAGGTGGAGGGTAAGAGAAGGACACTGGTGACTAAAACCAGGTCCAGTGTTCAGACTGAGACACCTGGATGGATGTAGAACTGATCTGGTGTCAGGTTCTAGCAGAACCCAGATGTGTTCTTCCTCCTCCATGTCATGTGTCTATCTGCTGTACTGATGAAGTTCTGAGGCTCAGAAATGATGGAAAAAGTCCATTAAAGTGATCAATCTGGCGCCTCCTCTGTGGACTTGAAGGACCTGGACCTCTGGAACATTCACAGTCTGAAGGTAGAACTCTGGTCAGTAGATAGAGGTGCTGCAGAATCAGAACCAGGTAAATGTGGGGGTGATGTTCTTGGTTTTTCGTGTTTTTGTGAACTGTCAGTGGGACACAGCAGGTCAGGAGAGGTTTCGAACCATCACCTCCAGCTACTACAGAGGGGCTCACGGTATCATCATCGTGTACGACGTCACTGAGCAGGTCAGTGTGAGTTTGTGCAGCGTCGTGAAGACGAAGGTCTGAGCACTAACTGTGGTTCTGCTGCCTGTCCAGGAGTCCTTCAACAACGTGAAGCAGTGGCTGGATGAGATCGATCGCTACGCCTGTGAAAACGTCTCCCGGCTGCTGGTGGGAAACAAGTCTGACCTCGTTAGTAAGAAAGTGGTGGATGCTGCCACCGCTCAGGTAACAGCTCAGCTGCACCAAACCAGCTCCTGTCCAACCACAGCAGACTGTCGGCTCTGTGAGCGGCTCCGTTAAACATCACCAACATAAACTGGACCCCATGTGCACAATAAAAAGTCAAGTCTTCATTTAAACATGGTGACGTTTGTCTGTTGACGGTGTGACGCTGGTTATAAGAGGACATCTTAATATCAACACAGGACCTGATGACTGTAGTTCAGTCAGTCCAGAAGAACATCTCAGGTCCACACAGCTTCATTCTTCTGGATAAATCACTTCTACCTTCATGTGTTCCTCTTAAAGGAAATCCACAGTTCACATGTGAATATCTGCAGCTGAACTCTGGTTTGAATCCAGTTTCATACATCTACAGTTTCATCTGATTCTTTAATGCAGTTCAACAGATCGACTTTGTCCTTTTCAGATCCTTAAATGAAGGTTGAACTGGTCAGAATTAAGCTGTAGAATCTCAAAGTGACAAAGAAACACAACACGACAAACTAGAAACAGGAAATGACCACAAACAGAAGCCAAACAGTCACAAACATCAACAAAAAGGCTGCAAACAGACACACAACAGCCTCAAAGACACACAGTGCAGCCGCTCAGAGCAGCAGGACATTCACAGTGTCAGAACCACAGTCACTACAAAGAACGATCTAAGGAGCTCATACTGATATCTGTAGTGCAGCTCCAGTCTGGGTGTTCCAGGTCTACACAGAATCCCATTGATTCCCTCCAGAAACATCTGCAGAGCTGCAGACTGATGAAATGAATCGCTCACCTGACCCGAAGGCAGGCTGCGACAGAGACAGCTTCTGTCCTGAACTAAAGTGCTGAGCCGCTGATATTTGGTGGTGATTTTCAGAGTTTCACAAGCTGTTAATTAAAAACAGGCAACAGAATGTGAAACAGTTGCAGCAGCTCCAGTATTAAAATGGTTGTCGTGGACTCATCCATAATTCAGGGTCTTTGTGTTCACAGCAGCGAGCACTGAGCTCTCTGTCAGAGCACTTTGATGCTAACACTTGACTCTTTACTGAACTTTTAAATGCAGAGCTTTGCTGTTTCTCCACTCCGGTGATGTTTCCGTCTGATTATCTGCGTCCACCAGGACCTGGCTTCCTCCCTGAAGATCCCCTTTCTGGAGACGAGCGCCAAGAGCTCCGATAACGTGGAGAGGGCTTTCCTCACCATGGCCTCCGAGATCCACAAGCGCCTGGCCAGCGAGGGAGGAGGCATGCAGGGCGACCCGACGGACGGCAGGGCTCAGAGCGCCAAGATCAACAGCGCCCCCCTGTGGCTGGGAGGGGACAAACAGACGCAGGAGGCCAGCAACTGCTGCTGAGGAGGAGACCTGACTACCGGGTTATTCTGTTAAAAATCAACTAATCCTCCAACCGGACCGCCTCAGAACCAGCTGGTGCTGTTTCTGCAGGACCTTTATCTACTGACCAGAGTTCTACCTTCAGACTGTGAACGTTCCAGAGGTCCAGGTCAGTAGATAAAGGTACTGCAGGTACAGAACCGGATGTTCTGATGCGGTTCTGGAGGAGCTTTGTTCAGATGTGGTTGATTTTAGAACGAATAACTCTACAGTGAAGACAGAGACGTGTGATTTCAACACGTCCACTGGTGTAGTTCAGGACCAGCAGCAGTGATGGTGTGTTCTTAACACACCTGTTGTCATATTTTTGCTATTTCAGTCAGAAACTCAACAGGACTTTGGAGGAGAAACGTGTTTTTAGCTTGACTACAATATATTTTTGAGCTTGGTATTTTTGAATGAAATATATTTTGACATCTGATTCAATAAAGAGGAAACAGGACAGACAGAGTCAGAACTGAGCCAAAGAAAGAACCGGGACAGCGAATCCATCCATTATCTATTCACCACTTAATCCTTAGAATATCTGAGAACCATTCATGATGAAAAGGATGTTGAAATGTGTCTTATAAAAACAGCTTTAATTGAATAATAGATCACAGAATATGAGTTTTATTTAAAGATGTGATGGAAGCAGTTTGAGTAGTGGAAGAACCGACAGTGTGGTTTAAACACCGTAGCGTCCCTCTGAGGTGGTCCACCGTATCTACCAGGTTTTGTTGTGTTTCGCTTGTTGTTTGTTTTTGTCAGTAAAGTTATTTTCGGAGTCTTGATGCTGAAAAGATCCTGAAACATAAAAGAAGAACTCCTGTAAAAGTGTAAATATGAACATTTCTGATTTGTCTCTTGGGTTAAAGTGAAGTTTAGGCTAAAAAAGTTGCTGTAAAGAAAATAAAAATCTTCCTAAATCAAGGACCTGCTTTGTCTAAAACATCTTTATGACACAAGATGCATCTTTCCAACAGTCCAGCTGGGACGTGTCTGCAACATGTTCATCTCAGGAGTGTCTTGGTCTGGAGAAATCTTTATTGTCTGAACTGATTTCCTCCGTTGACTCAAAGAAAACATCCAGAATAAAGACTTTCTAAGCTGCTATTTAATGCTGAAAGAAGCTGAGACAGGAACCACTGAAGAGGAACATTCAGGATGTTTCTAACAGGTTGGTGTAGAATTTGAATTGTGTGGTTGTATTAGCCTTTGAATTCATGACGGTAAAGAATCCAGAGTATTTGAGTTGTGACTAACGCTGGAGGTTGAAGGTCAGGATGTTTCAGTGTGAGCTGCCTTGACCTCCACCGTCCATTTATGATCGGTCTCCTGAGTTCCACCTCTGTAGAAATGGAGGACTGAATCACTGTTGTCCAATATCAAAATGTGATCATGAAATAAATCAACTGACCTGTTAGAGACTCTCGAAGCAAATGAACACAGTTTGAGTAAAACACTGTTCACTGTAAATCTGCTGATGCCTTCAGATTTAGACGAGCAGCCACTGCACCACTCAGCTTCAATACAAACACAGTAAACACAGACACCTTCTCCACGTCTCAGTTCTCCTGCAGACTGCATCAGGTTGTCCTCCAGGATTTCTCTACACTCTGCTGCATTCATTC